GGTCATAACTGCATTCTCACTGGCTGCCCCCCCCCACACACCCCCTCTGGAATGCCCTCCCTCCTTAGCTCCATCTCCCGGCTTACCTGGCTTCCTCCAACTCCCAGATAGAATTCCACCTTCTATAAGAGGTCTTTCTCAATTCCCCTTAGTGTTTCCCTGTTAATTCCCTGTTAATTATCTCCAATTTACTCTGTGTATATCTTATTTGCACATTGTTTTTTTGCACCCTGACTGTGATCTCCTTGAGAGCAGAAATTGTATTTTCCCATTCTCTGTATCCCCAGTGCTTAGCACAGTGCCTGGTATATAACAGATGCTTAAATGTGTTAATTTATTGATATCTAGCTACACAGTCCCCACATTGTATTTATAAGGTTGATTTTTTTTTTACCCCAGGTGTAAACCTTTGCATCTATCCCTATTAATTTTCATATTCTTAGATTTCGTTAAACTTTTTGGCCTACTAATAACTTTTTGAACCCAACACCCAATCCAGTGCATCTGCTCTCCCTCCTAACTTTGTCTAAGCTGGAAATTTGATAAATATGCCTTTATCTAAAACACTGATAAAATGTTAAATGACATACAGCCAAGGGTAGATCATTGGGGTACTACGTTAGAGACCTTCTTCCAAGTTGATATTCACCTCTTACTAATTTCTCTTTTGTTCTGGTTAAACCAGTTTCAAAGAAACCTATAGGCTATCATCTGGCCCACATCTCTCCATAAAAAAAAAAAGCATGAATTACTTTATCAAATGCTTTGCTAGAGTTGAGGTAAACGATATCTGGATCAGGTGGAAGAGACCTCAGAGGCGATCTATCTAGTCCAGACTCCTTATTTTATAGATGACTTGTCCAAAGTCACGGAAGTAGTATAGGTCAGAAGTAAGATTTGAACCCAGGTCCTCTGACTCTAGTGCCAGCTCTCTTTCCACTGTCCCACTGTTTTCCATTTCCTTGATCTACCTGTTGAGTGGTCCTTTCAAAAAAGGAAATTATGAATTATGTAATTATGTTGGTCTGCCATGACTTGTTTTGGATGAAGCCATAGTGGCTTTTTGTGATCATTGCTTCCTTTTTTTTTAGGTATTAGCTGTCCCTCGGATATGCTTAAGAACCAAAGTCAAGCTCACTGGCCTATATTTTATAGACTCTACTGTGTATGTTTGTGTGTATGTGTGTGTGTGTGTGTGTGTGTGTGTGTGTGTGAGAGAGAGATTTGTCCTTTTCTCATCTTACAGGTACCTCTCCCATTTTCCATAATCTTTCAAAGATCACCTTCTGTGACTCATCAATCTCATCTGCCAATGCTTTCAGTATTCTAGAATGTACTTTGTCTTAGCATGATGGCCTGAATTCACAAAGGGCAGCTAGGTGCCTTCTTATTATCTCCCTACTTACCTTGTGTCTCAGCTCCTTATGATTCTCTCATCTGTCTTTTCCAGATTATTGTCCTTCCCGGAAGAGGGAAAGGGGGACAAAATAAAAAGTTGAATAGTTCCATTTTCTCTGGCATCTATCACCATTGTCCTTGCCAACCAAAGCAGTGAGCCTAATGCTTCTTTGATCCTCTCTTTTCCCCAACATTGCTTAGGCTAATACTCTTTTATTGTCTTTGACTTTCCTCTTCAGCCCAGGTTAGTCGGAGCTTTATCACTTCTGTTCTGGATTTGAGTTATTTATGGGAAATTCCTTCCTCTTAGTTTCTGGACAAATAGGTTTAGCCAAGCAAAGGAATTGGACTTTTGAATGGTACTTCACATACTGGGGTAATTTGCATTTGTGTGATGGGCCAAATAGACATGATTGGAAGCCAGAGAGGATAATCCATTACAGCTCCCAACCCTATTTTTACAGGACCATGATACACTTTCATATTCTTTCTCTTTTACCTGACCTTGCTTCTATCTTTTGTTTGTACCTTTTAAAAATCTACACTGCTCATTGAGTTCCCTGTGCATCTACATTAGTCTCCCTAGGCAACTTTCCTTTTTCTTCTTCATTGAAATCTTCTTTCTCTTCATAATTTCATCCTTGAGAGCTTCCCATTCTACTTGGCCTATCATAGCATTTTAGTCCATGGGATCCCATTCTGTGAACCATTTTATTCTGCGAACCCTTTGAAATCTGCTTTCCCCAAATTCATGGAGCATGTCACTCAACATATACTCAGCTTTCCTCTTCTTTACCACAAATTCTTTTCTACCCATGGAATTTCCTCCATCATTTCTACCTCAAGATCTAGTTCCTCTTTCTTTGTGAGGACATCCATAATAACAACTCCCATTTTTGCAACAAGAAATCAGAGGTTCACAGGACCATATACAATAGAGGCCATGTGGTCCAACCTTACTTTACAGAAGAGGCCTAGAGAAGTGGCAGGATTTGAACAAAGGTCCTCTAATTCCAAATGTAGCCCTCTCTACTGTACTATCAGCCTCTCAATTATTAAATTATCCTCATATCTCTACTTTGCAATACAGTATTGTAAATCTTTCAAGGAACACATTCACAGGAACAGTACTGGTTTTAATGGCATTTTCCCCCTCTCTCCATGCCCTTTTTAAGAGCCAAGTTTAAAGTTGATGACTTATGTTCTGCTCTGGTACCTTGAATCTAACTAATCTGTCTTGAGGTGAAGCTGTGCCTAAATTATCTTTAGTAACTGAGATGCCTACATTACTCAAACAGTTCCAGCTGTGGAGTTACCATTTTGCCATCCTAGTTCTAAAAACTATCTTTAGGGAAAGAGACTACACGCTTTCTGCTGGTTTCATTCTGGGATCTACTGATCTTCTGTGTGTAGTTGGTAAGCAGAGCTCCAGGAAAATGTGAATGATGTCCTACTTTAAGTATCACGTCAGATATGACCTTTCTCAAAATGGTTCCTATTAATCCATGCAAGCAAATGCCTCATTTTATCCTTTCACCCAGAGGGTAAACACGACTACTCAGCTGAAAGCCCTGCATGAAGAACCCATGGTTTCTGGGCCACACTCCTGAATGGGCATGCTTTCATTGGCAGGCACAGACCTGTGGGCTTGACTTTGGACAATCCATACGTGACGAGTCTTTTCCAAAGTCTTTACGGCCCTGTGGTAAGGAGCCCCCTCGCAAGTGGGCGTTCACGGTTTTCTTTAGCTGCATCTGGACGGTCCAAGAACTGACACCTCTGCTAGACTGGCAAAGAAAGAAATTGCTGTCAGCATCTTCCAGCCAAGGACAGCCCCATCACCAGGAGGAAGACACAAAGAAGTCAACAGCTGGAAAGCTTGACAGAATTAGTCACGCATGTCTCCTTCCCAACTCAGGGATGGGGATCTGTGAGCCTCAGCCGACCGTCTCAGGGTTTCCAGTCTACACTGGCTCTGAAATGGATTGTAGGCAAGTTTTTGAAAACGTCTTGAAAACTTTGTGTGATGAGGTTAAAAGAGGCTCCACAGGTAGACAACTCTTATGTTTCAATGTAGCCCTACTGAGAGCTTTCCCGGATTTAACAAGAGAAGTACTTGCTTATTTCAGGACATGGACTTGAGGTGTCTGGTAGCACCGTTAGCCAGAAATAGCCCGTTGCTATAACACCGGAGGAAGGAGAGCAGAACTAGGGTTTTTTCTAGACACCATAAACAGCAGCATCAGATGACTACAACCAATTAAGAAAATTAAAGTTTAACCCAAAAGAAGAAAACAAAAATTTGAATTGTCATTCAAGCTCAGCTGGTCATGTGATTTGCAGTGTCACTAAAAAGTGGCCTCCCCGAAGCTCTCACTGCTCTGGGGTTAACTCCCTGAGATAAACCAGGTTAATCATGAATGTGGTTACGCTTGGGATTATACTGAATTCTATGGAAAATATTGGATATTGTTATTATTGCAATGTTGTACCTGGCAGTAACTTCGCTACACGGCAGGAGATGATGGGCAATGATGTCTTCCACTGGTATCTTCAAGATGTCGAGAGGTGGAGAAAGGCCCTGGCATAATGAATAGAACCGCACCATGCCACCCCTTTGTGAAAAAGACACAGGCTCAAAGGTAGCCTCAGACACTTACTAGCTATGTGATTCTGGGCATTATTTAATCGCTCTCTGCCTGAGTTTCTTCATCTGTAAAACGGGGATTATAATGGCACCCACCTTTCAGGTTTATTGTGAGGATAAAATATTCATAAAGCACTTTGCAAATCTTAAGGTATTATAGAAATGCTAGCCATTATCTTTTTAGTCATGGTTTACAAAACACTTCTCACAACAACCTAACGAGGCAGGTAGTCAATAGCCAACCAGCCATCATTTTATTAGCACGGGAACTTGGTGACATGAATAGAAGTCTTAGAGGCCTGCCTGTAGCTTAACTACCTTTACAATGCTGATGTTGAATGATCCAGGGACACCAGCCTTGCTGTTCCATGAATGGCACTCCATCTCAGCTCTAGAAGCCTTTTCTCTGGCCATCCCCATGCCTGGAAGTCACATATGCTAATTCCCTTTGGATGCCTAGGCTGAATATCTATGCTTCCACACCTACTTTTTCCCCACCACTCAACTAGAAAAGGCCATAGCTTAGAAAGAGCATCTTAGGAGAAAGCTATCTTCTTCGTCAAATGCCCCCGCCCACCAAACCTTCAATGGCCTGACATTCAAGCCATCTCTGAAACTCCACCTGAGTTTTTCAGAAAAAGGCTTAGGAAGTCTGATGTGGAAAATGCTGAGGCATTACCCTCACTGAAACATTCCAGTTTCAAGGCCTACCTTGCCCACCCCAATCTTGGTGCGTAGATTCTTCCTTTTAAACAAAGAAATCTTGGTATATATGGTGATGCAAGTCCACAGATGTCTGAAGGGGTGCAGGCGGGTGGCTGAACATGAGCCCTGAGAGTCCGATGAGCCCAATAGGGTGACTCAGGCATGCTTCCCAGAACAGCGAGGTGAGCGGATGACCCACCCTCTTCCCAGAAGGGGCAGTAAGTTATTCCACTGACTTCCACACCAATACCTCCTGCAGCTGCTGATTGTTTATTGCACAAGAGATCAGCATTGAGGCAGAAGGGATATTACAAAATGAGCTGGTGACCAGCCTGCTGCTACAGAAGTAGTTTTTTTTACAGACGCTTCATTTATATACACATATGTACACGCATACGAGCGAACACACACACAGACACACACACAGACACACACACAGACACACACACAGACACACACACACACACACACACACACACACACACACACACAACCTAGTACTGACAGCTCTCGGCCAAGGCAGGAAGCCCCAGCAGCTGCAGCCTGCATGATCAAACGGGTCGCAGTACAACCCAGCAAACAAGTGAGGAAACAAGGGCTGGTTTCCCCACCCCAAGCTGGCCATCATTCCAAGGAGGACACGACACACATCAACGTGGAGCTGCCAGGCTCAGGCCCCCATGAAGTGGAACCAGCCAGGAAGCAGCTGCCCAAGAATCCTATTTAAAGCTAGAACCCTATGGCACAGGTCGGGTCAGGCAAGGAGGAGATGGAGGAGGCATTGGGGGACTCCTTGAGTAAAGCACACCTGCTGGAATCTAGAAGGCAAAGGGGGAAAGGCAAACATGGGGGCCCAGACACTGGGGGTGAAAGGTGCCGCTTCCTGCCTTCCTTTCTAGCAGACTGATGGAATTCTATTCAGCAGGTGCAGAAAGAAGGCTGCCCAACGCTGACCCTTCCTGTCTCGCTCCACAACAGGAGATGATGGGGTACACTGAAGAGGGCCTCTCTGGGGCAGGAAAAGGGAACCAGGAGCCTGTAAGTCAGGGTTCACCCACCAAATCCCCTGCTCTGGCAGAGACACAAGGCCCCTGGGTGGAGGAGGCTGAATTAGCCGGTGGCCAACTCTCCTGCCAAGCTGGGCCCTGCTCCAGGGGAGCTTTCAGAGAACTCGTTTCTGCACAGAGCCCCTGTCTTTAGGAAAATGGCCCTCACAAGCCTATGCAGTCCTCTGAAGGCTAGACCTAAGCTTAGAAGACCTTGGACTGTGTCCCTGAGAGGGAGGAGGGGAGAACTCGAGCCCTTGGGGCCTGGTTCCCCAAAAGTCCCAGCCCAACCCAGAGCTCGGGCTCCATGGAACGACAGCAGCATCACACAAAAAGGAATAAACAAAAACCCATGATCTGCTAATCAGGAGTGACCACTGCCATGGCCTCAGCCCCTCCTCCACCCCAGGGGCCTGTAGTGCTGAGCCCCCGCTGGGCTCAGCCTGGCCCTCAGGCTGCACCCCAAATCCCTCACTCTCACATTCAATTTAAATGAATCACTAAAAAAATTTTAAACTTCTATTTCAAAACACCAAAATGTCTCCTATTGGGAAAGGCAAGGGAAACCTCCCCCAAGAAGCTCATCTAACCTGTATCTCTCATCACCCCTTCTTCTGGGCATTTGCTTGGTCCAATGAGAATAGGGGTTCCTTCCCCCCAACTCACAAATGTGATTCTCCAGCACTGGGGAAGGTGGGAACACCTTCACTGAGGAGATTCTGGCCCTCTGGTCTCTGATACAGGACACACACACACACACACACACACACACACACACACACACACTCTCACACACTGTGAGAAGAGGGGTGATGGGTAATCCCAGGCTCCATTCCAGTCTCCCACCAGCTGGCTGCCAAGAGTGGGGGCAGGAGCCCGTGGGCAGTAGGGCCTGGGGAAAATCTGCCAATGCGAGGAGACTTAGAGACCCCCACCACACTGTGGGGACCTCCTGAGAGTCCATTGTCCTGCTGCCACAAAGACAGGACTCAGTGACTGCCCAGCATGGCATGACAGGGAACTCGAGAGAGGCTACTCTTCATCACTCCTGCCCAAAACCCTCTGTCTCCTCAATGGCATACAGCAGCTTCTCCTTCAGCTGCTCATAGCTCTTGTAGGGGGGAAGATCCAGACGGTTGAAGCTGGAGAGAAAGAAGGAACAACACTATTAGCGAAAATCCAGCGGCCTTGGACTCTTCCCCCGGAGGGCTGCCCACTCAAAGCAGAGAGCGTCAGGACAGGTCAGACAGGCTGCACACCTGAGCACGTGGGACACATCTTTCTTAGCTAGTCCACACCCCAAGGTGTGCTTTAGGAAAGGAAGAAATGTCACACACACACCAGGGGTCCCCAAGCAAGCACAAGTATCAACCCGACCTCACTGGGGTGTTCTGTGTTCCCTAGGCCAGCATCTCCCCCAAAGGAACAGCTTACCAGGTGTGGCTCCGAGGCAGCCAGGTTTCCTTGCCAACCTTGTCGATGCAGAACTTCTGGGGTCCGTTACTGCCTGGTGGCCATGATAAAAGCACAGGGTTGAGTGAAGTAGAAAACTGCCCCACAGCGACTCCACCCCACTCCCATTCATGCCAGTTCCAGTATTTATAAGAAACCAAGGCTATGACCACCCCCAGCAAACACTGCACCTGAGCCTATGGAACTCTGGGATTCCACAGCTGCTGCCCGTACTCCTCTCAACCTACAGGACGTCTCTACTCCTGACCACCCTGGACCTCCCCTCTCCTTGCACGGTCCCTGCACCAACCGATGAGTTCGGCAAATCCTCCCACAGGCAGGCGGCAGGTGCCGGTGACAAACTGCAGCAGGCGGATCCTTTTCTCATTGTCCATCTCCTTCACCACCTGAAAGCCAAAGCACGGAGCCCAGTCAGACAGGACACTGGGCTCCGATGAAACAGCACAAGTACAGAAACAGAGAGAGATCAATCCTGGCCTCTGCCCTGAGCTGTGACAACATCTCTGGGGTTTTCTCAGCAGAGCTGTGATCCCAAAGCCAGAGGAGACAATGGTGGACACCCAACCTAACCATCTCCCAAAGAACGGGACTGGAGAACATTAGCAGCAATCCACAAGGCAGTGCTGGGTCCCTGGGACCTTTCAGTCAGCCTACAGGTCGGATATCGTTCTAGCAGCAATCAGCCCGTGGAGCCTGGGAAGCCAACTCAGCCCTGGGGCTTCCTAATCTTGGCTAGCCTTGGATCTTTAAAGGAGAAAGCACTCAACTCACGAAGACCAGGTCTGAAAGTCCTTCCTATTTCTCTTCCTGTCTGACTGGTAGGGAAGTCAGTGGCTAGCAAATGCTTCAACTCTAGCCTCTACTCCTCATCCAATGCTCTGCCTCCTACACACCAGTGATTAGAACTGGAAGGAAGGTGACCAGTAACTTCCACTTATCACCCTAGATTCACCACGCCAGAGCCTTTCCAGGCCAGGAGAGCCCTGCCTTTCTTTTCAAGGAAGCACATCTGAAAGTCTGAGGACAATCAACCACAGACAGGACGTGTGCGTCCGTATGTGGGTGGGTGTTTCTGTATAAACCACCCACATACGGGCTAAGAGGTGGGGGAGGGGTGTGAAAGGGTGGTAAAGGCAGCACAAGGTGCTCTGGGCTGCCCCCCCACTTAGGAGGCTCCCTGGGCCCATGCTCTGTGTCCACGTCACCCATCCCCCCTCCCTAGAAGGAACAAGGGCCTAGCCCCAACACTCACCTGCCAAAACCACTGGATGGGTCTGCTGTTCTTGGTATAGTGACGGTAGATGGTGTTCTTCTGCCAGTCAGCCATATCAATCTCCTGCATGCCGCACAGCATCAACTAGGAGACAAATGAGACCCGTCAGCACTAGGGCCAGCCCCCATCCCCCCCGTGGGCTAATACCCAACCCAGAAGGACAGTGGCTAGGGGCAGGGGCAGGTGCTGCTTTCTACACCCTAAGCAGACACAGGCTCCAACAGGAGAAGGATAGATTAGATCTGTACAGGCATCGGGATTTATTTATTCCCAATTAACTGAGATTTACCCCTTTTAAGAACCAAGGCTTTAATTTTAACCATTTGACACGGAAATCCTTCTAAAATGAATCGAATACCTCCATGCCTTCTTAAACAAAGTGTTCTGGCCATAATTTAACCTCTTCTCACTGACTCTGGGCAAACATTATGACTATCAGTTACTGTACTGTATCGCCCTCAGTACCTCAAATTTCCATGAATTTCATTTCAAGTGTTTGATACTTTCCAAATTCTCATGCATTTTAATAGCTTTTCTGCCTTTTACTTGACAAGAGACTGTCAGCTGTAATTTTCTGCTGTTGTCACTGTGCCAGGCCCAAGCCTCCCTCCTCCCTGAAATTTCTAATTTATTGTTCTGATGGTTCTGGACTGGAAAATCAAGTAACAAATCAAATCTGTTTAACCATGTTAAAAAAAAAAAAAAAGAAGAGAAGACAGGCACTGACTGAGGGTCTAAAAGCCCTCTCATGAATGTGGTAAACATGGTTTATTTAGTGTATGGACTTTTTAACTTAAGTTTTGGCTATTCAGAAGCCTCCTTTGCTAACTTTCTGGGGATTAATCTAAGCCCTAAAAGGCCAATGCTGCTATCAAAGCAGCCTCTGGGTATGAAAGGGCCATTCTCCCAACAGGATACTTTCCCCATTAACAAAAGACCAAGTCTCTACAAATAAATAGCCCAGGAAGGGTCACCAGCTACACCTACCTGATGCTGCAAAGTATCATGAGCATGTTAACCTGGGGCCTCCTTGCTATAGTCTAGCCTGAAAGTCACAACTGTGAAATTCAAGGAGCCCAGTTATCTATTCCAAGCCCTATCTTTTACCGGTGAGTAAACTGAGGCCACAGAGATTAGGGAGTGTTGAGTCTCAGATCCCTTGAATAACAGGAGGCAGACATGAGGCTCAGCCCCAGCGGCCTGAGCTCTAGACCCTCTGTTCTTTGCCAAAGCACTACGCAGCCTAGATTATTGAGAAAGGGTCTTCTCCAGAAGCAAGTTCTGACCTCTCCACTACTGAAAAAGAAGTAACTGGGAGCACAGGCTACTGGGCCAACCAAGAACCGAGAGCCACAAGAAACCTGGGGATCTCACCTCGAGTTCCTTCTCATCAAAATAGCGGAGCCATTCCAATGGAGCCACTTCATTGAAGCCATCCAGGAAAGCTCTGGTCTGCTCTTCCACACCTCGGGTAAATCTCCAATCTGTCAGCAGCCTGAAACCAAAAACCAGCCCATCAGCACCAAATACGCTGAGTCTCCAACCCTCTTTCTCAGGCTCTCGGCCATCCATGGAGTCCTTTTACACGTACCAATCCACACAGGCCAGGGAGTAAGCCTGGATTCAACCCTGTGCACCAGAGGCACGACTTTTATTCGTTCATTAATTCCAATATTTACGGAGCACCTACTCCGCATAAGGTGCTGCAGAGGCTGAGATGCAAAAACGAATAAGACTTGATCCCCACCCTCAAGAAACTTATAATCTAAGAGGAGACAGAAGACAATTACGTAAATGTGATAGTGTTGCGTTACAAGGATATAAGAGATAAAGTGTTATAAAACAAGACATGAGGCAACACCTCCCCTCATCGCTTTGCAGAGGTGAGAAGTCCATAGGTATTTATACTATATGTTGTCAGATTTTTTTTTTACTGATTAGCTTTGTTGTTGATTTTGTGATTTTTCTCTTTTTCTTCTGAAAAAAATATTTATTTTTTTTAAAAAAAAGTTAAATGAGGGGCAGCTAGATGGCACAGTGAATAGAACTCTGACCTTGGAGTCAGGAGGACCTGAGTTCAAATCCGGCCTCAGACACTTAACACTTACTAGCTGTGTGACCCCAGGTAAGTCACTTAACCCTGACTGCCTCACCAAAAAAAAAAAAATGTTAAGTGTTCAGTGAGATCATATCCAAAGAGTAGATAAACTGAAATTACATGGGAGAGAGGGAATTTAACCTTAGCCTTCACGGATGGATAGGCAGAATTTTCAGAGGTAGAGGTGATGGGGAAACCACCCCAGGCAAGAAGGCTATGAGAACGTGTCATCCAGTTTAACTAGCAGAGAGTACATGAAGGAGAGTAGCATTATGAGCCAAGGCTAGAAAGATGAAAGGCCATGAAGCTAAGTAGTGTAAACTTTATTCAGTTTTTTGTGAAAGGAAAGTGAGATGACCAAAGACATGCAGTAGGAAGATTAATCTGACTGTGTGTAATATTTAAGAAGATTAGAAATGGGAGAAAGGCTAGCCAAGAGACTACAGAAAGATGCAGCGAAGGCCTAAATGACAGTGGTCAAGTAGTTGCCATGAAAAGGGGGAGATTCCACAGAACTTAGTGGCGTATTGAAAAAAAAAGAAGCAAGAAAAAGGAGGAAGTGAAAATAAATACAAGGTTTCAAGGTTGAGTGACTGGGAGGGAGGGGTTGGTTAGAGTTGGAAGATGAGGAATTCAGTTTGTAAATGCCAAGTTTAAGGTATACCAGCAGGACGCTCGGGGAAGCTGTCCAATAGATAGTTGGAATTATAAGCCTGGAGTCTGAAAAAAATCAAAGCCGCAACTACAGATTTGGATATCATCCACAGGGGCAGCTAGGTGGTTCAGTGGATAGAGTGCTGTGCCTGGAATCAGGAAGACCTGAGTTCAAATCCAGCCTCAGACACTTACTAACTGTATCATTCTGGGAAAGTCAACATTGTTTGCCTCAGTTTCTTCATCTATAAAATAAGCTGAAGAAGGAAATGGCAAACCATTCCAACCCCAAATTGGGTCACAAATAGTCTGCCATGACTGAACAACAACAAATATCACCCACATAAGGAAATAGCTGAAACCATGAAAATGGATGAGATTGTCAAGGGAGAAGAGTAAAGATTGAAAATAATCATTATTTCATAATGACAATTTATATAATAATTATATTCTTAAAGACTTCCTCTTTGATAGTCTTTAAAAACTAAGAGTCAGAGAAAAACAGAAGAAAAAGAGATAGAGACAGGCAAAAGCAAAGAAAGTTAAGGGCAGAGTCCTGAGGAATGGTTATATTTAGTAGGTAGGAGAAGAAAAGTACGAGATCATTTGTCACAGAAGCCCAAGAAAGAAAAAAGGGTCAAGAAAAAGAAGGCAGTCACGTTAAACGTTGCAGAAAGATCAAGAAGGATGATAAGCGGAAAAGGAAAAAAAACTAATGGCATTTACAATAGGTGGTCTTTGGTGATCCTTGAGAGAATAATTTCAGTAGAGAGGAGAAAAGTTGGACAATAAGGGGCTGAGGAGTGAATGGGGGGTGAGACAGGGATCAATGTCTACTGGCCGGGCAGTGGAAAAATGATAGAGCTTGAAGAGACAGCAATCTCTTTTTAGGCATGTTTGGAGGGAGGAAGAGGAGGAGGAGGAGGGGAAGGAGCCAGTGGAGCAGACCAGAAATGCAAATATTTATTAAGCCAATACGAGAAGCAGAATAAAACTATGATGTGCTTGTTGGGGTCAGAGTGCTTGTGTTGAACGTTGCCTTTGGGACTGGGGATGTGAGAAAAATGGAGCAATCCCTGTGAGGAATCCAATAGGTAGACATTGACATGTGAATAAGACAAGTGCCATGCAGCAACGGGGTCCCACATTACAAATGGGCAATGGTTCCAACCAAGAGTTTCAGGTCTTTCTCTGTCTACAAGTGATTGGCAGCCTAGGTGAGAGAATGGATAAAAACAATGTCCATGGAGAGAGATCCTGAGGTTGGGAATGAACAAGGTGGGTGCAATAGAGTTCAAGAGACAGTCCATCCAACAAACATTTATTAGGTAGCCCTACAGAGGCAGAAATCAAATGGTCTAGGGGTAAGGGATTGAGGGTGCTACCCACCTATGGTGGTGTCTGGGCAGGGAGGCAGGGGAAGCCAAGAAGACATTGCTGGACTGGGAGAAGAAGATAAAGGTAAGGTGCAAGAAGTCTGGTGCACAAGAAGGGTAGAGTCACTCAAAGTGAGGTGAGAGGAGGGCAGGAGGCCACAGTCAGAGGAATCACATTGGCTTAGGCTCTTAGGGGCAGCAGTCGCAGAGTTAACAAGAAAGGCTGGGGACCCAAGGCCGTGTCACCATCAGACTGAGCAGAAGCTTTAAAAGGGGTGGGGAGGGGCTGCAGGCACGAGAACGAAAAGGCTGAACAAGTGAGCTGTGGCTGGGGGTGGTCAGAGAAGAAAAGACACACAAGAGCATATGCCGAGCAAAGTGAAAACGGCACAGGACTCAAGGGGTTCGTTTGGGAAGGAGAGAGAAGAGAAATCTCGATGTTATTATTTGAGGCATTTTCTTCTCACTCACTGGAAATCCAGGCATGGGGCCTTCACTATTCCAGAGGGCTGAAACTTTCAATATGTTTTTTTCAAGTAAGAGAAATTACTAAGTGAAAAGAAGATAAAAATTCAATTGATCAATTAAAACAAGTCTAAAAAAAAGGCTTGGGATTCTGTAGTGAAAATGCCACTCGTCTAGCAGCCAGACCTTGACGTTGCCTGATCTGACACTGGCCAGGGGAGTCGCCGAGGACCAATCTCCTCCTCCCACTGAGTATCTGTAAAATGGGGACAATAATGAATTCCTGCTTCCCTCCCAGCCTCATGGTGAGGAAAGCACTTTACAAGCTTGAGGGTGCCACAGAAATGGGAGTGACAATGCCAAGTGCAGTGTCGTCTCAATTTCAACAAAGAAGGAAAAAGGACTCTGAAACCACCTTCCGTCTACTCAGTCTATAGCTCATATGTGCAGAGTTTTCCCAATGCTGTCCCCCCGTTAGAATGTGAGCTCCTTGAGGGCGTATTTGCCTTTCAGTGCTCAGCAGAGCTCCTGACATGATAGACACTTAATAAATAAACATGTATTTATTAAACAAATAAAGTCGACTGACTGACTGATCTCAGAGCGATGCATCAGTTCTCCCTGCCTTCACCACACTAGCCAGGCAGCATGACTATCACTCCAGAAATGAGTGTCTTTTGCTGGGGGGGCAGGCAGGGGGGGTGAGGCAGACAGAGCACTGAACTCGGGGTCAGCAGACCCTGCCCACACTTCATGGATGTGTCATGTGATCTCTTGCCTCAGTTCCTTCACCTAGAAGACGGTGATCACATTTGCCCTACCCACGTCAGAAAGATGGAGTGAGAAAATAAAGCGCTGCCTCAAAGCGAGTCACTGTGAGTCCCTGGGGAACCTTCACCATTCAAGGCCTCGTCTGTGGCTGGCACCCCAAAGAAGACCACAGGCGTGAGGAAACGCACCATCCTGCCTCGGGGACCCGGGGCTTCCTGTGCCCAGCTCAAACCCAGGCTCCTTCACGTCAGTGCAAGAACGCTGACTCCGGGAAGCATAGAGGGAGTTAAGGGTCCGAGAGAGAGGGATGAAGGGCCCCCCCCAGCTCTCCTCTGGCCTTTGCCCTCCCCCTCGCCCCACCCTTTGACAATTACATGATGTATTCTTCTTTGTTCTCCTCCGTGACACGGATGCTCTCGCCGCCTTCCTTCAATTCGTGGGTTGTCACCTTGCCCAGGATCTCCATGTCCTGGATGAAGTACAGCTCCAGCCCACACTCCTCCAGGTTGTTTTCTCTGGGTGGGGAAGGGACCAGAAAAAAAAAAAAAAAAGGTTTACATCATAGGGAGTGACCTCCCAACCTGCTTCCTCATCCTCACTTCAGGCCTAAGGCCCAGAACCCAAAGGGTCTGTGAGCTCCTAGTTACTGCCTGCAGGATGGCCTGCTAGAAGCGATGGACAGCTGCAATCAAGCACCTGATGCTGAGCTTTGATCCAGTCATGCAACCTCAGCTCCACAAGACACCGAGGTCATGAAGACGTTTTCATTCCAACCTGTTTGTGTGGATAACAGGGCTGGGTCCCAGGGAAAGGGGCCCAGGCCAGACCCTGACTGGCAATGACAACCACTCACTTGATCCAGACAATGGAGTTGTAGAATTCGGGATCGATGGACTCGAGGTCCTTTAGCGTTGGTCTCTTGTTTAGCATCCGCTTGTAGAAGGGGAGGGTGAAGCCAGTGTCAATGAACTTTCCATGATAGAGTGCCTAGGGAAGGAAGTGACAGGCAAAGTCACCTCAGCCACTGGGCATGCCTGAGCACCTGGGACAGAGCAGCAAAGCAGGGCCGAGCCAGGTCCTGACCTCTACAGGGACCCAGAGGTGCCAGACGCTGGAGGGGGCTGGGAAGAAAGGAAAGTGCCTTCCTCCATACCAAGGGCCCTCCCTGGCCCTCACGCCCCACCTCTGACACTCCATGACAGAGTTACTCCCTGAGTCAGACACGGGCCTGAGAGGCCCAGGATACATTCCACTGATCCTGCTGCCATCCCTGTGCAGTGCCCGCAGAGGAGAGCTGGGTGGCTGGCTCCCCCTGGGCTTAGCAAGCAGCTGCCCCTGGGCTTAGTGAGAGCACTTGTCTAAACAGCTCCAGGGGGCTGCCTGACTCACAGACTACACCATCTGGGAGGCAAGGCAGAGGCAGCCAAAAACAATGCAGACACTGGAGCGGCTGGCGGGCCAGTCGTGAGTAATAGTCTGGGGTTTTACTGGTCTGTCCTGTCGGCTCTCAGGGCAGGCAGCCTTTGGGAGACCTGGAAGGAATGTACCCACTTCCTGAGCCCAGCACCTTGGCCAAAAACTGCTAGGCAAGGGGGAAGGGCGACAGTGAGGTACAGGCACTGAGGCCCCTGGAGTCCTCCAGGGGACAAAGGAGAAGAGAGAACTTCAGCACCAGGGGAAGAGCTGAGGGACATCAAAGTAAAAGCACGGCACTTCCCTCGGCCCATCTTTGGTTTCCTACCTTAAGCCACAATATACTGCCCTCCCACAGCCTGAGACTTCACACTGCTGCCATCCTTTGGACACACCCTGACTCTCATTCGATATGCATTCTGAATCTTCCTATGTGTACAACAACATCCCCTTCTAAACTCCACGTTTCCAAACTGCATCTCACTCACACCGCCCAGGTGGGACAGTCCCTCAGAAAACTGTAACAAGTGGCTCCCGTGAAATCAAATCCATGTTTCTGTAGTCAGGCTATTGCCTCCGATCCTCTCTCTCCAATCTGCTACTTACAGATATCGAAGGGCCTTCGGAAGGGCCAGGAGGCCTTCAAATCCAACTGGCTTCTCGAAGGCTCTTAAGTTATGAGTTAGCAGCAACCAATTTGTCAACAGGCATTTACTGTGTGCCAGGCACAATGCAGTAAGTCAATGAGGATACCAAGGCAAACAGGAAAGTCCCTGCCCTCGGTGGGCGTATCATCTGTAGGGAGACAGCTACTTGACAATGACCAAGCTTCCAAGATGCTCAGCAGAGAGAGAGATGCACTACTCCAGGCACAAAGAATTATCCATGCTGGGCGGCACTAACACCCACCCATCACTAGCTCCTCCGGAGCAAGGAACGAGGCTGGGCCTTTGGGATTCTGGTGGGGATCCTGCCCCTCCTCCCAATCCAGCTACCTCACACCCAGGAGCGTGGCCAACGTGGGAGGAACGGCAGGGGGGCTCCGGGGTCAGCAGAACCACACCCAGGGGCCAGGGAGAGAGGCCAAGGTTAATGTAGGCCCCAGGATTTCCTTTCTGAATAAAGTGGGGGTTTTTTAGGTCAGTTGTTGGGAAAGGACCCTGATACTAGTATTAGACACGGGTCTTGTATCATGTCCATTTCAGGACAAAGTCTGAGAGTTTTTAGTATCAAAAAGCTTATAAATTCTTAGAGGACAGAGATGAAGCTCTGAGAAGGAAAAATCTGCCACCCGGCCACTCCTCTCATTCAGACAGTGACCCTCCGCCCCCCGCCCCGACAAGATTCAGCGTAATCACAAAGCTCCCTTCACCCAGTCATCCCCTCCAAGGAGAGGACGACCCTGCATGTGTCTGCCTCACTTCTCTCCTCAACACCCCGCTTCCTTGGGAATCAGGAGGGGAGGGAAGAGAGGCCAGGCACCTGGAGACCAGATGACATCCCCGGAGCCCTTACCATTGCTATAAACCTGCCGATGAAGCGGAAGTAGGTGAGGTGGTCTGGGTTGATGGAGGAGGCCGGGTTGATCTGCAGACAGTAATTGTTCTTCCCGGCATATTCAAACAAACAATACATGGGGTTGAGCACCTCGTGAGACAGGAGGAAGAACCACTCTCTGTGAGAGAAAAGAAAAGACAGAACCACAGATAAAGGGAGCCTGTCCTGAAGATACCAGACCTGCACTCATGTGTTTCTGCTACAGCCTCAGGAGTGAGATCCGGGGCCAGGAATCCCAGGAACAGGGCCTCAGCGATCCTTCTTGGGGTCTTAAGGCAATAAATAGGTGGCAGGAGAACATGTAAGGGCTGGTATGGGGGCAGCAGGTCACCAGCTCCACACAGTGGTAGAGCCCAGGGAGGCAAGCACGAGCAGAGGCTTCCCTGGGGAGTCTGAGGACAGTTCAACGTAACCAGATCTCATGTGGCCTCAGCTAAGGGCAGGAGAATGATGATAATAACAGTAAAAACATCAATAACAACAATGGTAACAACAAGAACAACAACAACAACAGCTGGCATTTATCTAGCACGCTAACGTCTGCAAAGCGCTTTACAAAATGCTCGTGGTTCCTGTTCCTCCCTTCGGCCGGTCCTAGATCAAACAGCCTAGTACGTGGCCTGCGCCCTACGACACAGGACAAGGGGGCACCTTCAAGACCAACATGGAAAGGCAGAGCAGACAACGTGCTGACATATGTGCTAAGATTTACCTCCTAAACCCAGCCACCCCTGAACAGGTTTCCTCGCCGTGCTATAATTTTGGGGTAATCTATGCTGCCTCTCAATTATCAATCTAGTTTTCCATCATGTATTGTGTACAGAATGTGCCAAACTGTGGGTGTCCCCCTAACCCTCTGTGCCCAAGGAACCTTCCTGTGCCACCTCCTCACCACGATGCCCCCTCTCTCATCCCCTTGGGCATGCACCTGAACCAACACCCCACTCCTTGGACTCTCCCTGCTCCTTGGGTACCAGGCTCACGTCAGACTCGCTGAGCCCTCAGCACTTGCGCTAAACCCAAAAGGAGCCATGATAAGTAAGCCGGGTTCCTTCAGTCCCTCCTCCCTGGCTTCTCAGCTGTTTGTGGCCAGAGAGACGAGGATTCCTCCGATGCAGAGAGCGCCCCAGTATCCTGTCCGTGGTTCTACCCTGTGGTAGAACAGCATGACGTAACCTACCATAGGGTAAAACCACTGGCAGGACACAGAGAGAGACACACACACACAAAGGGCAGGAGCCACACTGGAAGCCCACAAACCAAAGCCTGGAGGAGGAGGTGGAGGAGGGTCACCACGGAGAAGGAACAATAAATCTAGAGTGGGACAAACATGAAGAGCAACAAGAAGAGGACATGGTGGGCCGGGAGAGGCGTTTAAACCCAGAGCCAAGCAAAAAGAAGCCCCCAAGCAGCAGAGGAGGTGTCCAGGAGGCCAGGGCCCCGCAGCCTGGCAGAGAAACCGCCTGCCTCTGCCCAAGTGCTTGCTTTATCATAGAGGGCAGCTTCTCCCAAGGACTCTGTCTACTTTATGAGATGGACAAAGGAGGAGGAAGGCAATAATTCAGGGGTTCCAGTGGTCGAGTCATCAACTTGCTCTCTCCATTTGTAACCTCTTCTCTGCACACCACTGTCCTACAAATTGTGACCCAAATTGCAGAAAAGGCACTCTTGAAGAAAAGTCTCGAGGTGACCATGGCCGTATCTGATCCAGGAATTGAGGGATATGCCTATAGACCTGGGGGAGTGGATGTGACATGCACAACTTCGGCCTTGTTGAATTTAAAATATCCAAGTATAAAATGTATTTCACTGTCTTAAAAACAGGAAGAAATCTCTGGTTTCTTTTCAGGTACACATTTCATGCTAACTCAGGAGGATCCTGGGAAGGCAAAAGGTGATTTAACACTGAACCCAGGAGAGGGAAAGGAATTCACCTGAGTTGATACTACCTGAAACCTGTCTGGCTATAGGCCTTGTTCCCCAAGGAGGGACAGAAAAAAAAAAAAGGAACAGCCACTTGGTGAAAGCACCCAAGCCGCCATCACTAGGCTCACCTGGCAATACCACCATAGTCCAGGCCCTCCTCACCACGCATGATGATGTACAGCCGGCGACGGAGGTCGTATGGCTTCATGTTCATGATCTGAGAAGAAGAAAATATAGACACCCCCCAAAAGTGTCAGTCCCCAGCTCTCCCAAATCACAGCACAGAGCAGAATCAGAGAGAATCTCAGGACACCCTCTCCCAAGCCTTTGGCTTGAAGAGAACAAGCATCTTGCTAAAAATGCTCCACATTCTACTTGAGCAGCCAACACGTAAGAAGCCCACGTGTGTGGCTTCTCCATGCCTCTGGGCTCAGGGAGAAGGGCAGAGTCCTCGCTGTTCCCCTACCTGCTGGAAAGAATCCTCAAAAAGCGTCTGCCTGGACACACTGATCTTCACGTGGCTGGGTAGGGCATTTGACTGGAAAGAGAAAAAAATCCCTTAGCAGGGAATCAAATGATCTTTACTTGTTCTCCGCCCTGCTCCACCCTTACAATCAATCCAACCCAGGGGGCCTGCACAGCAAGCAGCCCCAGCCCAGAAAGCCAAGTTGAGTCCAGCCAGGAATGAACATCCAGCTGCCTGAACCACACCCACCACAAAAGTCAACTATAGACAATTCGTCTACCCAGAACTAGACAGCTTAGCTTCCCTCCAACCCTCAAGACTATAGGACAACTCCTCATCCACTTGAGCCTGAAAGTAACCAAGCAATCCTGATGAATACGGCTGGGATGGCCCCCACGTGGGCAAGCATAACTGACACTGTAACTCACATGGCAGAGAAAACGGAACTGGTGATACTTCCAGCGAAAGCTTCGATCATAGGCTCCAGGAGAACCGCCTTGCTTGTTTCTATGAAAAGCAAACAGTTCCCATAGTTCGTGAAATTTCCCAAGCATCAGCAATTTACCTTTCTGCGTCCTTTAGAATGTTTTATTTTGAGAAAGCTGGTTAGTTTAACACTGGAGAAACTAAGACAAGGAGAAAGTGACTTTCATTAGGCTATTAAGACTAGTCAATACTTAAACTCCTTCAGTGACCCAGGCCTTCAATGGTATGAACGCTCTCTCCACAATCATTCCTTGGTAGATGGCTTCCTAAGGTACTGTGCTGCTCCCCACCCCCAGTTAATCCGCTGAGCAATCTTCTAATGAGCAGCCTGTCTGCTGACAACAAACACGCACGTTCTCCATCCCTGGTGCAGTCCTCAAGGACTTTCCAGCCTGGGAGGACCCACCGGGGTTTGCGTTCTGCCACGATAGCGGCAGAGGAACCAGGATTGCCACCAGGCTATGATGAAGCATAGAGGAAGCTTTCAGTGGAGGATGGAGATAAACCTGGCACAGAAACTCAGATTTCCTGCTTCCCAGAACCCTGACCAGACAGCGCAGATCAGGTTCATTTTGGAAAGATACCAGAACCATTACTGTAAACCATATGGAAACGAGCTGAAATCCTCATCCACCACTGCTACCACCATCAGGCTGGCTGATTCAAGTCCGCTAAATATATAGTAAGCATTTCCTATATTCAAATGTTCAAACGTTTTTCAAAAGAGATAATAATCTTTGGACAAGACTACCTGTGCTATTCCTACTGTTCAACACAGAATGATGGGACGGCAATGTACTTGGGAAAGCAAGCTTGTTCCTGCCCCTGCCTCCAGAGAGCTCAGACATCTAAGAGAGATGTCCTCCCAGGCATTTTAAAATAGGGATTTTTAACCTGAGAAGGGGTCCACAGGCTTCACCAGACTGCCAATGGGGTCCAAGACACAAAAAAGGTGAAGAACTCCTGTTTTAAAGAAACTCCAAAGATCCAGAAATGAGTTACTGGACCACTATAAACTCGGACCCTTCCTTCTTTCCAGGTAACTTTTGTCTACCATCCCTTTGGGGGTACTGGGGATCCAAACTACAGCTTCAAATCTAGCCACCAGGGGGTGCCATAGAGCAGCACAAACCCATAATGGGCTATTGCCCAAACTCACCAGAGGGACCATCTCCTCCAAAGCTTCCCTGTATGGAGCCAGGCTGAAAGAACATAACTCAGCCCTGGCACAGCATGAAGAACTCACCCTGATTCAAATCCGGGACGTGGGTCCTTAAAAGTCGTGGTGCGTGTGTTGTGGTCCACAAAATAGCGCACCCCCTCACTGGTGTATTTCATTTCCCAGCCTGGGGGCAGGGCAGGCTCCTGGATCATCCTGCGGGACCCAAAAGAAATGTCATCATGGGCAACAGACACAGTGACCGTCACTTCTCTGCAGGGCCTGGGACTCTCCTGTTCCTGCCCCACCTGTGTTTTAGCCATGGTCTGCAGAGCCCTTTATTTAGCATGGCCCAGGCCTGGGCCTAACTATGGCCAGGCTCCAAAGAGAGCCTTTGGCAGACAGCGACAGAGATGGCTACCTCCCCAAGCCCGAGAGAGATCGCCTCCTTCTAGATGGCACTGACACAGGAGAGAATCTGCAATATCGGGGCACTATCCAGCCAACACCACATTCTAAGGGGAAGTGACACTCAGCCTTTTGGGTTCTCACTGGGATCCTCCACAACTACACTGAGGGTGGCAGGGCCAAGTTCACAAGTGGCTTTTTAGAAGCTACTGGCAGCAAACGCCATCCTGAGAGGGTCTCAGGGCAAAGGACCGGCTCTACTTTCCCTTGGTGACAGATGCTAAGAACTAGCCAGCCAAGCCCCCAAACCCCCATCCATACATACCCTTGGGTACGAGGGTCCTCCCACTGGGTGGTGCGGGTGTTGTGATTGACATAATACACCCGTCCATTGTCCTGTCTCTTTTCTGGAAAAGAGAAAAAGAAAAGGTAAAGAGCTAATTTAAGTATTTCTTAGCATCTTTCTTTTCCTTTGAACTCATTCTAATGTTCCTGCCCTTAAACTTTTTTAAAGGTTCAACTGATAAGAACTTGATACATTTCCCCCCCAGGCTTCACTAGTGAGAAGGGAAAGGAGTCTATTTCTGTCTCTGGGGCAAGCACCGTCTCCTCTGCTGTGGCTGGGGCAGAGGGAGGTTGAGGAGAAGGAGTGGCACCTCTGCCAGCTGGGCACCAAACACATGTACCTCCCTACACTCAGTACGTAGCACACAGCAGGAACTCAGTAAGTGCTGACTGACTGAGTCTCTCCCCCGACCCAGCCCAGGCTTCAGGCTCTATGATTTTCCATCCACAAGGGACCGAGCAGTTAGATTGCGGACACTTAGATGGGCCAGTCCTCGAAGCACCCATAAGCAAAGCAGTTCTGCGGGCATCTGCATTCTTCTATTTGCTCCATCTCATCCGACTTTGCATATCAGCACCCAATCCCTGCCCCAACACAGCACGAGATGTTGAAATCCCTCTTCTATTAAACGAAGATCCTAAGTTTTAAAGGTCCCATTGTCCAAACTCCTAATTTTACAGATGAGGAGACAGAGGCTCAGAGCAGTAATGGAATTCCAACCCAGGTCCTCTGACAAAAGACCTCAGTGCTCCTTCTCTAGACTACGCCTCCCATCTCCCCTTCAGAGGCTCTATATTGTCCACCCAAACCCCTACACCCCAACGACATTCATAACCTTTGTTCTGGTCCAACTGTAGGCCTACACAGATATGTGTATAGTGCCCCTCTGGATCAGACACCCAAAGACAGACAAACATTTGGGGTGACTACTGGGGCATTTCTCTCTTTTGGTTTGCTCTTCTTATTTCTTAGGCTCCTGTGACCCTTTGCTGAAGGCTATCTTAAGCCTAAGGTCAGCCTGGCTGCTGCCCTGCCTATTGGGCTGATGGAAATTTATAGAACGATCAAACGTTCTGGAGAGGAAATATATCTGTTGGGGTCAAATGGACTTCATTTTGAGGTGAAAAACACTCGAGAATGGGTCTGTAAGAATTGGTTTGGGTTCCTCCAGGCCAAGAGAACCCTAGCTAGTGACTCTCCAACCCTTATTGAGGGTCAAAAGAATTCCCGAAGGGGCCAAGGCTCTGAAGCCCACAGGAAACCAAGAGTTTCTATAAAGTCACAGTCTTGGGGCCAAGAATCATTCTCAGGGAGTGCTTTCAGCAATCTGAGCCTCAGCTTTCTCATCAAAAAACAGCCAAAGTGATATCTGAACTCATCATTCCACAGAACTCAGAAATCATCAATGTATTAGGTAAATATCACCATCACCACTACTAAAGGCGAAGAACTGCCTTCTCTTCTGCAATGCCAATCAGATCCAGAAGCAATAGCAAGCTGAAGCTCAAACAGGAGTCAAACTGGAAAACTCCAGCCTGCTGCAACCCATTCCTAAGGCCCAGCTCCAGAACTCCCCAGGATCTTTAGAGCTAGAAGGAGCCTTCTGGAGCTCATCCAATCCTACCCCCTCATGTTACAGATGAGGAGACCGACGCCCAGGGAGGGAAATGCCTTGCCCAGGAACAAGGCTTGAACCCAGGTCTTTTAGACTCTGTAAATTTGATGTTGTTCAACCTGACAGCCAAACCTTTTTCTACTGCTTTCTTCTCTCATCTGTATAGACAGAGAGAAAAGAAAGAAGGCCAGGAGCCATGAAGTAGCTACAACTGCCTCAAAACAGCCTGTGCAACCAGCCTGTGGCTGGAACCTTCCTTCTCCAGAGGCTTCTGTGGGCAAAAGCAGGCCCCTCCCAGCAGAGAAGCTGCTGCTGCCTCCGCTGAGAGCCTTCACGTCTGCCTCCCTGGGCGCAAAGCCAAGCTAACCACTGGGACTCAGGATCTGTCCAGCCTGTCTCAAGCCCACACAACGGAGCGTGCTGCTGATGGCTGAGCATGCTGACCTAGGCTCACTGAAGCAGCTCGATCCTCAGAGAACGACAACGTTTCAGATATGGAAGGGGCATCTGAAATCACACTGCATCTAAGAAAACTGAGGGAGGCTGGTGGGGGGTGGGGCAGGGGAGGTGTCTAGAGTAGGGGCAGGAGGTGAGAATGGTTTGCCCAAGGAGACACAACTAGTCAGTGGTGGTGTTGGGACCAGAACCCGGGTCTCCTGACCCGCCTTCTCCAGGCCTCTTTCCATAAGACCATTCTGCAAAGAGAATGAAAATGTCTCTTTTTCAGAGGTGGGGAACCTGGCCTTAAGGCCACATGTGGCCCACCCCTGGTCTAAAGGGCAACCAGTAACACCTAAGATAAAGAGCACCCCCAAGGGTAACCTGACAGCTTTCTGGGAGCCAGGACAGACACATGGGATCATTTCTCATTCTGTCTGGCTGCTTGGTCTTATTTCTTTTTAAATATCCCCAGTAAAGTGGCTACTACCATGGATCCGGGCAGACCAACACACAGTCCAAGAGAACTTGTGGTGAAGAAATGTTTCCTGACGCCGAAGCCAAAAAAATTCTTTTTCTCAATTTTGTCCTATTATAGCCTTCTAGTCCTTTCTGAACGATTTCGCCTCTTCCCTTGGATTTTACATCCTGTAAACAGTTTTTAACCTGGCCCTCTGGCCTGCTCCCATCCCAATTTAGCTCCATGCACTGAAAAAAACGTTCTTCTCTCCTCTGCTTACTTCTTTCAAAACCCCGAGTGGTTTTTCTTTATTGACAGCTTGACAGTGGGAGGAATTCAGAAATAAACAGCCTAAAATGTGGTACTCCTCCCTAGGGCCAAAGGAACAACTACTGTGCCACCTTGGAGCGCTGGGTCACAATGCACCAAATTCTGTTTGCTCTTTTCTACCAAATTAGATTACAAAATCATTTTAATTTGATGCACGTTCTTACTTCTTAGAAGTAGCTTTAGTGGAAAGCAAAGAGCACTGGGATGGGAGTCGGATGGCCTGGGTTCTAGCCTCAACCCTGCCCAAGTCAGCAATATGACCCAGGATAAGTCACTTCTCCTACCCCAACTTCAGTCTCTTTGTCTGTAAGATGGGTAGAATAATACTTGCAATACCTACCTCAAAGGGTTGATTATGAGGAATGCACTTTGTAAACCTTCACACCCTACATTACTATGAGTTATCAATGCCACCTGTACCATTTACTGCCAAGGATAAAATCTTAAGAAGGGATGGGGCTGGATCAGATACACTCAAAGATCCCTTGGATTCTATAAGTTCACCCTTCCAGCTTTCCATAATTCTACAGCCTGTCGATATGTGAAATCCCGATAATTTTTCTATTAATACACTTAGCCAGACAGATTACCTGAGTAAGCAAGTTCCCAGGAGCAAATGAGGCATGTCTGGACCATACATTAACTCATTTGTGGGGCCAAAGGGACAACAGGTACAGAGCCCATTCTGAGCCCTTAAATACAAGAGTAATTCACTCAGTGATCTCCTTGTGATCTCAAGGAATGGATGCTTCTCCCTAGTTTGAGCACCAAAGAGTAGTTTCTAGGCTGGAAGAATCCAGTTCCATAGACGTCTTTTTCCAGGGAGATACTTCCTTGTCATTTCCTGCTATTCCAAGTCTTCCTGCCTCTGTCCTCCCTGGCATTTACATCTGCTCCCAATTTAGTGCTATCTGTGTGATTCCAAGTCACACTGCCTCCCTTCTAGAAGACTTTGATGGCAAGCAAAACCAGTACTCAACAATCCCTATAGTTGCACCTGACCACTACCAGCTCATTAGCGTCTCTTTAGTGGCCCTTCTGGTCTCAAGCCTTTGTGACAACTCCAGACTCATCCATTAATTAGTAGAGTCTTTTTATAAAGTACACTAGAAAGACGAACCCCAACCCAAAGAGCTGAAGAGCTCTGAGCCTGGCAGAACAGCTAACAACCAGTCTGAGGCATGCTGGGAGAGGAAAGCACCATGAATTGCCTCTCCATTGTGCTGGTGATATCAGCATTCTTACTATAGCATGTTACCAGGTCACTAGACCTAGTCCAGTCTAATGTTCCTAGCATACAACCTAATCACTATGCAAAGTCCTTCTGCAATCAAGCCCTCAGTCTCTCTAAAGTGACGGACTTATGTTCTCCCCCTGTCCCACAACTTGCTTGCAACATTAGTAACTTTCATTTCATGTCTAGAGGAATAAAGAAAGGTAAGTGCCAGACAGCAATGGAAAAGCAGAGGAGACATCAGGGTAAATGAAGAAACAACAAATTCCTGAGACCCAAGGGAGCCTTAGAAGGAACTCCACATTAGAGCCCTCCACTTCCTCCTCATAGCATCCTCCCCAGCTGCATCACAACCAAAGGAGTTAGGCTGTTAACAAAAATGGGAAGAGTTACCATTGCTAGTTATAATGAGGCTTAAGTCCCCAACAGCGAGGCTTCCATGAGGACCCATTACAGTGTTTGAATCCAACCTCAAAGTCACAGACCAAAAATAAATGTTCTTTATCATAAAATTCACAGATAATCTCAACATTTCTTAACCTGCTACTTGAGCAAAAACCTAGAAAGACAGGTCCAAAAAACCTTTCAAAATCAGGAGAACCAAAACTTTCCATAGCCTCATGCTGCTTTAACTAAGGCTAATGGAAGCTGAGGAAGAGAGGATGCCCCTGCTTTACTTTCTCAACCTTATGAACCTATTGCCCACAATTTCTCTGGAACATAAAAGTAAGGCTTTAGACGGGTATCCCCAGTGTCAGACAAGGACAGCAGTAAGAAGCCTGGACCAACAGCTGAGAAAAAGCCAGGGCTTTGCAGGATGAGGCATAGAATGGCAAGCCTGGGGAAAGAGGGTCTGGGTCCAGGGACAGGAGCAACAGAATGTACTACTTACCCCAGCCAGGAGGAAGAGGGCCGAGTGGATCATGGTCAGATGAGGCACCAGAAGACTAAATACAACAGACACAGCAAAAAATAACACACACATAGAAACAAAGAGGTTAAAAATGACAATTAAAAAAAGAAGCAAATGCCAACAACTGATTCTTAAATTCTTCACCATCAGCCCCCCCACCCCCATCCTAGACTTTCCTCTGGTATTTATGGAGCACAAAGGGGAAATGTGAAGTAGTATATGCTCCATCAGGAACTTAAAAATGAAAAAGCCACCAATCCAGGACCCCAAAGGGACAAACAGAAGCTGAAAGGAGAGAGTGAGGCGGAGAACACGATGCATGGATGAATGTGGGGCAGGCAGCTAAGGCAGGGGAAAGGGGACGAGAGATGGCAGGAAAATTCAGGAGCAGGACTTCCCGGGAAGTTCAGACATGTGTGTCTGCTCTGCTCTTGCTAGCCAAGACGACTGAAATCACCACCACCTCCAACTTTCTCCAAGAACCACACACAAGAGGGGAAAAAATATCGCAGGCCTTTCCAATGAAATCATTCCCACAAGCCCTGCCCACGCCCAGTGCTTCCTGGCTGTAGACGGCGCCCTCCCCTCCTCATCTCCCTTCCCCCCTTTCTCAACATGCTGTGAGAGTAAGCAGCAGTGTGCGATATTAACTCAAACTGAAGGGACATTCATGCCCTCACAGACAGGCGTCTCCCCCAAGCCCCTTCACCTCCCCCCGGAATGTTCTTATGGCCTTTCACAAAGCACCTTTATTCCTCCTCCTGCCAGGAGCCAGCTCTTCACCCGGCCTGAACCTGGGGATGCTCAAAGCTATGGACCAGCCTCACCAGAAGTTTGGGGAGGGGGGTAGAGAAAGGGAAGGAGAGAAGTAGAGAGCGGGAAGGCAAAAGAAAGAGTGTGTCGGGGGAGAACTGGCTCAAGGGCTAGAGTGTCACTGTTTATATTCTAACTCCCCTTCCCCAGCTCTGCTGGGAGCTCCCCAGGGAATGGCAATGCCAGACTGAATGTTCACATAGCCCCGGAGGTGGGGCGAGGTGGAGGAAAGGGGGATGCTGTCAAACACTTTTCATAGTTAAATAAAAAAAGCATTGTTGCTAAAAAAGGACTTTTTATTTCACCTACTAAAATTTAATAGTTGTATTAGGGGATCACATTCCAAACGCAGGCTTCAGGATGCCTTATTTGCCTAGCTTGGGGAAAAGGGGGCCATGGATCAGGAAGGAAAATATATGAATGGAGCTCAGTCTGAGCTTGTGAAAACATTGATCTAAATTGCCACCCACCCCACCCTCATAGCCCTCCCTAAGAAGACAGAGAAACTTTTTTTTTCCAAGGGGACAACACAGCCCACTACTCAGTGCAAGAGTTTTAACGAAGAGGTTTAGTTTTGAACCCAAGGATGGCTTGAGGGGCTCCATAGCCCTCCTTCAGCCAAGTGCCTCCTAGGAGCTCAATGTGAAACTGCAAAGGGGAAGAGAGAGGAAGGCTCAATCCCTGAAGAGGCACAAAGGAAAAAGCCAAAGAATAACAGAAAAATTAGGCAATTAAAAGTGATGTGTCTTCCACATTAAATCAAGCCCCCACAGCTTGCTCTCCTTAAGAGTGCTTTAATTGGGTAGGAAAGGCAGAAACTTGCTTTCATAGACATTTGCCCATCACTACCCAGCCATGACACGCATAAAATCTCAGACTACACGCGAGATTCTCTCCTTTTCATTACCAGAAAAAGCACCCAAACGTACCATCCACCACGGAATTCAGATGTCATGAGTTGACACCCCACGTAAAACTAAGTTGAAATTCTGTCCAGTAGTTCATCTATTAAGTACAACCACCATAAACACATTTAGGCAAACGAAGGAAAGAAACTGGAACCAGATGGGAAACAGAATGCAGCTCTTTCCCAAAAGACGGCAGAATGCATTAAGTAGAAAGATGCAGAAATGTCCCTGGAGATGAGCTGCATAAAAGACAATTCTTAGAAAGGAGAGGTGATGAGAAAGGATAGACTTATTGGCCTAGGTCCTTCTTAGATGCCAAAACTTCAGAAAATATATGAGCACTCTATAAAGAGATTTTTTAAAAGTCTTTTCCTATCAGATCCTCCAAACCTGTAAGAAAGAGAAGAAAAGAAGAAGGAAGGAAAGCATGAAAAAGAAAGGGAGTACCACAATGAAGAACACAGTTAGCAAATAAGCCAGGAGCAATGGAGATACTGACACCTATAGAGATGGATATTTTACTTTGACAGTTAAGATTTCCAAATGCTTAGCTCTGCTCCACATATTTCTTATTTTAAAGAACTCAATGAAGAAAAAAGAATAGAATAAGGACAGCAAACAGAACCAAATCAGAGATGACTAACATAAATCCTTGCTCAGTAAAACCTATTCCCCACCTAAAAACATACTTTAAATAATAACAGCCTTTATATAATGCTTTAAAGTTTATTTTTAAGTTAAATTTTATTTTATTCTCAAAGACCAACTTCGTCTCCCTCCCACTTACCTCCCCCTCCTCCCAACCCTGCATTGAGAAGACAAGAAAAACAAACCCCCTGTCACAAACATGCACAGTCAAGCAAAACAAAATTTCTCACCGGTCATGTCTAAAAAAAGACACACTTCAATCTGCACTTTGACTCCATCCCCTCTCTGTCAGAAGGTAGGCAATGGCATCGCTTCATCACAAGTCCTCAGGAATTGTGGTGGGTCATTGTGTTGATCAGAGTTCCCAAGTTTTCATATA